TTAATATAGATTTTGAATAAAATTATGACAATCTTAAGATTTCTGATTTTAGAATAGCAAATAAAAGTTTTGAATTTTATTTAAAATCTAACACAATCTAAAGTTGCAATCCTATGTTAGCATGTTTCTCTTTAAATTAAATTGTTTATACATGTATACATGTTTGAAATTATTGACATAATTTTGAAAAACTTAGGTAATATGCAGGATAATGATCTTCGCTGAAATTCTACAAACGCTTCATAAACGTGCAAGAATAATAGTGAGCTGTTCGTAAAAAAAAAAAGGTTAAATAATTTGGAAAAAGATATGTTGTTGACTTTCGGATGAGGAACGTTTTGGGTAGCAGATTTTTAGAGCTGTGGTGAACCTCAGACATAATAACAGAAAAAAAATTAATTCAAATTGAATTGTCAAAATTTAATTGCACTTTCATTGTTTATTTCATAGAATCTAATTCATAAACATAACTAGAATTTCCAGAAATGTCCACTATGAGTTGCATAGACATAACTACTTTTTTTTTATTTAAATATGATATCTGCGAAAAAACGTTTTATAAGCACAATTCAGGTTTCACAAAACAAGTTTTACTACAGTACTAAAACTGGCGAATACTTTATTATTATTCATTGTGTGAAAGATATTTATGCATTCTTATTTAAACATTATATTACAAATTAAAAAGAAATGAATTAAGAATGAATTTACTTCACTGTAGTGTTCGCAACAAAGGTCAAAATTTACCAAAGGTTATTCACATTTTTTCCATATTTTTCAAAATTTATGCTATTTGTAATTATTTTTAAAAATAATTTACACTTAAGTAATAGTATTCCATTACTGCAATTACTAGCAAATTTATCTTTTCCCTTAATTTTTTCTAAAAGAAGACACATTAGTCAGAAGAAAAGATTTTATCATTTCATTATTTGTCTGAGAAATTTATTTTATTACCTTGTCCGTATATTGTATTAACAGTACACTTACTGTACACTAACAAAATTTAAATTTTATTACAATAAATTAAAATTTTATTTCAATAAATAAATAAACAAAAACTTTATTAACAGTAATCTAAAAAAATATACGTAAATCCTTATAATTCATAAGCACTAACATTCCCTTCAAAGTCTTAAATGTTATTATTTTTCAATGAATACCAATGATGCGTTGTTCACAAAAGTTTCCTAAGCTGTGATAACCTATACCTGAAAAATAAGAGCGAGTAATTAAGCCAAATTTTTTTAAAGTATTACTATGCACCGATAGATGGCAGCACATATCCAGATTACGCTTTTGCCATTTAATTTACATTCCTATTCATAGATGGCAGCACTACTGCTATGAATGGCTTAGCTTTTTATTACAATGAGAAATTAGAGAGAAGAGGCAATTTGATCCAAGTAACAAGTTTTAAAAATTTTATTCCCGCTTAAATTTTCATTTTAGTTCTACAGAATGCTTTTTTTAACCTTTATTGTTGTTATTACTATTTATCACAAATTGTAGTAGCGTTTATTTTAATAGCGATCTTGCTAGAATTTTAAGAACATGATCATTACAGAATAGAATAAAATTAAAAAAATAATAATAATGTTGTTAGCTTTAAACCTGAAGTGTATTATTATTTTTTGTGGGAAAAGCTAACACCAACAAGAAAAGAAAGGGGGTGAAGAAGGAAATTCAGTGATCGCTTTTTTTTCACCCCAATTGAAGAAATGATAAAATCCTTGCCTTACAGGTAAATTAATTGCAAACGATGCAGATGTATAGAAAGACCACGTGACAGCATTTAATAAACATTGATGATTATTAATTAAATCGTAGTTAAGCAGTATTAGTTAAATCCCGCGGGTATGATGCAAAGCTGAGCTGTTTGATTTAAAATGAGCTCCGTTAGAGCCATTCTAGGAAAGAATCACTTGCCGCATTGAATAGAAAATTCGAAAGAATTAAAGTATTTCAGTCACTTGATAAGTTTTCTAATTATTAGGAAATGAAATTTTAATATTTTTTAAATAAAGCAATTTCCTTTTGTACACCAGAATGAGTTTTCCTTTGAAAATTGGAGTGCTTAAATATTCATGTGTAGAATAAAATGAAAATTAGTTTTTTTTTTTTTTTTTTTTTCTTAAACTGACTCATGGTGCCGGACAAAAGAAACAACAATAAAAAAATATAATCATCATAAGAACATATCATATCGAACAATCGTATAGTGGTAGTAAAAATTAAATTCTAGGTTCGCGTTGTGGAAAAGGAAAAAACAACAATCCAAATTCAATTAAAGCTCCATGTTTCTTAAAAGCCTACCGGCACAAACAAATGGAGTGACATGACAGACCAAAGTAAGTTAACACACAAAATAAACAAGTGCAATTAAAATTCTAAATCAAACATATTTATTAAATTCTTGAATATAATAATAATATTAGTAAAGACTTGGGTAACTAATCAGTATCCTCTATCACATATTTTTACTATGAAAATATCACATCTGTCACACAAAATTTCTGCTTACAATAATTAAAACATTTAATTAATAATTAACATTTTTTTCACAAATTAAGAAGGTGTAACACATTTTAATTCTCCAAATAAATGGTTCTCATTAATTAGAAACTAACATTTTCTGACTCACAAATTCAGTAGGTGAAACAAATTTAAAACATCCCAAAACTGGCCATCACTTGAAATAATAAATCACTTCTCAATTTTACTAACTGTAATATTTAATTTATGTAAGTAATAACAATATAAACAGGTAGATAAATCATTATTAACTGTTCCAGTATGGCATTTGGGAAAACTAAGAAAAGAGAGAAAATAATCTTAAAATTTTTTCACGGACAGATGGAAGACAGTTTTTCCGGGTAGCAGGATCCTTAGTGTCCATTCCACAGGGAAATGAGCCAACCCCATTTTACCTTCTGTCACAACTCTTTCGGAAGCGTCTAAAATTATTAGAAATCACGAGTGGAAACTACAGCCTAATAATTCTTCAAACTGTTAGGAATCGCTTTATCTGCCCATTAGGTGGGAGCCAATAGTCCAATTTAGAAAGATCTTTATATTTCAATTCGATATACACAAGTTTACACAAGCTGAATATACACAAGTTTTTAGCACGATCACTTGCATCATCGAAACCGCGAATCAACGTTTTATGCTGAATGTTGCGGAAAAAGGCTCTTAGAGATAAACCTGCGATCCAGGTAAAGAGAGAAAATCTATGGTAAATTTTTTGGTAAATTGCTCTTTACACTCGCACTAAATTAGTAATCAGCTCGAAAAAAAAAAAGTTCATTTCCAGCTCGTACACATTTCTCCAGACATCTCGCAGTAAATTGTTCTTTACATCGCGTACAAAATTTTCAATCATCTCGCAGAAAAAAATGCCTTTTCTGGAGAAAAGAAAGCGCAGCTCAAGCCCTCTTGCTCAAGCAGCCCGCAGCACGGCAAGCTGGCCGCAGGGCAAACGCCGCTCGAACTTTTTATCTAACTTCACATCGCTGCTGCTCAGATCTGCATCAACAGCCGCCGCTCGCGAGAGCAAGACCCGCAAGGGGTCAAGCCCCCACACTCTTTTTCTCTTTTTTTTTCTTTCTGGCTCAAAAATCAAACTCCGAATGATAGTAAGCTCCTGGTGTAAGCACCGAAGTTAACTCTCCTCTCCGCCCCCCAAAAATTTAATTAGCTTACAAAAAATAATAAAATTAAAATCACACCAATGCTAGAATTTTACTTTAGTTTTACTGAGAAAATTACACCCCCACAACGAATCAAAAACCAGAAAAATCTGACAATGTAGTCCAAAAAACATCTGTACACACAACGTGAGAAGTAAAGGGGACCCCCCCCCAACTAACAAGTGGAAACCAAGCTTCACGAAAATCCAATTACCTAAGTTTACAACAACCTCCGCTGTCTTGAAGTAAACAAAATTGCAACTATAACAAAGTGAAAGCAAGACGATTTTCGTTTCAAACGCCATTAGAAAAAGGCGACAACACAACTCCCTACCGCCTCCATTGCTAGTAAAAAGGCCAATAAACCAGTAAACCACATGTTTCCTCCCAACCGTCTCTCGCCTTTGTTACACTTTTTACTCAAAAATAACGAGTTAAATTTACAATTTAAGAATTAACAATTTAAGAATTAATTATTCTTAAATTAACAATTTAAGAATACTTTTTTTTTTTCAAATTAAAATACACATGAGTACAAATAAAAATACCAGAATAATGATAACTTAAAACACATATTAATAATTAAAATTCGCGACATAACACATCCGTCTGAATATCGCGAGCAATCTATTGCCGCCTTTTGGGTATAATATCCGCTTTCTTTTTAAAATTTCTGATGAAATATCGTATGACAATCATGTTTATTATTACGCACCTAATAAATTGTTTTTCCTTATTAATGACCTGTAATAAATAAAAGTCAAGTATCGACTACAAGTACCAGATGGCCACTCAGTCCTCAATTTTACTGATTGTCACACACATTCTATTGTCTGCCTGCGATGTAAAGCAATAATAAGTAAATATAAAAATTAAAAAAAAAAAAAAAAAAAAAAAAGAGAGAGAGAGAGAAATGAAGTGGCTATAAACTGAGGGGGGAGGAATGAAGGAAGATAGGAAGAAAATTTGCCTCGTCTTTTACTTTCAGCGTAGAAAATTTCGAGAAATATTTCTGGGGTTGCCCAACGCTCTCAAAAATAACAGCACGTAGTATATTCGGCGATATACCGGTGAATATCAGATAACCTATAAGTACTCAAATTTCTAACGTTAAACTGGTAATCCAAAATACTTTCTTACTGTGTTGTAAAATACAACTGAAACATCTTCTAATTATTACTTAAGAAATGCATTATTTCGATTTAGTTTCTTACGTCAGACATATGAGTTTTAAGCTTTCATTCTCTTTAAACACGTCTGTAGAACTTTTTCCTTGTATTACATGTGCTGCGAAATGCTACAATTTGCGTTGTTCTAGAGTTGTATTTTGAATATAGTGTCATCCTTGCGCTGGGGCTTGCTAATCTTCTCTGTATCATTCCAATTTTAGTATATGTATTGCCGAAGCAAGTGCTTTGAATATAGTGTATAAAATGATTCAGAAACATTTTAACTGATTTGTAAAATAATGCAGGAAATCAGGCAAGAAAATAATAGGTTATGAGTACTCAATACTGTTTAAAAACTGCGCATTTTGAACTTAAGTTAGTCATTTTAGTACTTGTCTTCTTTTACTGAATTTACTTGCATATCAAGTAGGATATGCTTTTGAGTTTATCAGTTTTCCAGCTAGATTCTATCAGGATATTAAAAACAATCAGACATTTTTTTTCCTTATGTAAATCCGATACATAGTGCAACGAACAAGAGTTTTTTAATAGGCTTATCGAATTTTATTTTATCAAGAGTGCTGAGAAATGTTTGTTATTAAAAACACATATTTTTATATCTCTAAAACAAAACACGAATTTTATTTTTTAAAAAACACATCTTTGTTTCAACAACAAAAAAGTAATAAAGATAAATTTATAATTTCTTCTTACTCTTGAATCTGTTTAAGCTGATATTAAAAATCTGCATAAATTTGTCTTTCTTATACAGTCAGAGTCAGGAAATACAGACGCATAATTTATTCAATTTGAAATTAAACTGATGCAGTATATTAGGAGGTTAAGATTGCAGTTAGTGTGAAGTTTTGCAATTCTAATATATATTATGCAGATTAATATATTATTATCATTCCATACTATGGGTGCACTTAACGTACTTCTCTACTTTAATTTATTTTTTTGTGTAAAGTTTTTATCAGGTGGTATGATTGTTTCAAAAACAATGTACACTGCTCAAAAAAAAAAAAAAAAAAAAAAAAAAAAAAAAAAAGGGACAGTGCTATATTTCCCGTTCTACTGGGCCGATTGACAAAATTCAAACTGCGTTTTTCATGTCTCGAAAGCGCGACTTAGAATATATTTTAGATTTATATATAGTACTATTCTAACATAGGTATTTTGACATAAAATCGGACTTTTTCTGAAATAACATACCAATTTTTTTTCCATATTTCGATTCTACGACTCAAATTATGCCAGAATACCAAGTTTTGTAAAAATCGTACGACTAGTTTTTAAAATATTAGCTCTCAAAATTTTAGCTCCTCAATGTTAATTGAATTTGGCAAATATTTATTAATCTCTCTTTTTTTATTAAATTAAACTTTTTTTTTTTTTTCTCACATTTCGAAATTTAGGTTCATTCCAAATAAAATTTACCCATTTTTGTGTTTTATTTTTTAAATTTCTATTTTTAAATAATTTTTATAAATTTTTCGAAAAAAATTTTGAATTATAACCTATAAAATTTTTACCATCATCTTAAAGTAGGTGTATTTTTAAGCATATCTGCAAAAAATTAGACTTTTTTATTCAAAATTTTCTAAGATATACACGAATTTACATATTTTCGCGTTTTGAAATTTGGCATCTTTTTTTTGAGCGATAATAACGCCAAATGTGGTCTATGGATTTTTGTTACACTGAATTGCCACAGCTATTTTTAACCTTAAATTTCAAGTAAAATTTTACGGAGAATTAATTATATGAAATTTTTTCCCTCAATGATGCGTAATAAATATTTATTAATACTATATGAAAAGCTATTTTTTAAATTATAGATGATATTATTCAAATTTTTAACTATTTTTTTTAAATTTCTCTCTTTCTTCCTTTTTTTTTTTTTAAAAAAAATAAGAGTAATTTTTAAGAGTAAATTTTTACCTTCGGCGTTTTATCGTCTGCTACTTTACTTCGTTTAAATCGAATTGTCTAAAACTGAGAATTTTCGTTTGATGTTTATTTGAATTTTATGAAAATATTTTATGACATTAACTGCATAATTTATTTCTAAACAAACTGTTGCTTTTGAAGTGGCTGAAAGAAAGAGCGGCTGATACTATCATCCATATTTTTAAAGCACAGTATATTTTTATAGAAACATAAGATTTAGAATAATCATTTATATAAAGTCAAATTATGATATAAACATACAACCCTCTAGAGACTGAATTAATGGAAGTTCAATGGTTATGTAGAAATGATCTGCAGCTACTTAATGGCTGGATAAGTCAGCAGATTCTGTGGACAAGTAAGAATAATTATATAAACGACACCAACATTCTGGATTCAATTAACAACGAGGATACGATGTTTATTAAATGAATTTAAGAAGTTTTAAAACATAAAAAAAATCAACTAATTTTTTATCCTAAAATGTATTTTTGTGCGTAGCGTATTTTCATTATATCCTTAAAATTCTAATTTAGAATGTAATTGTCAAGAACTGAATCCTAATCATCAGTAATATAATAAGTAATTATTACGGTTATTAATAAATCCTTCTTATAAAGTAATTGCAAATATTTCAAAAAACTTTCTGTCTGAATGCAAATATTTTTCTATGCAAAATTTTTAATTTTATATTAATCAAGATTGCACACGAAGTTATTTATTTGCACTTCAATTCTTACCGTCAGCTTCTAGTAGAAGTTACAAATCAATTATATTTAATTAAGGATTGGATTGGATTATTTAATTATGGCAAAGCACACGAGGGCTATCTGCCTAAAGGAGGGATGCCTTCGTGGAGGACTTTCTAAGGGAAACTGGCTCGTATACACGTTACACATGGGGAAAACCACGAAAACGCCCATGCAGCCAGCCCGTTCGCGGGATTCGAACCTCGACCGAACTACCAGTGTCAGCGTCTTTACCGCTCGGCCGCTGGTGGGCTATTTAATTAAGGAATGACCATCTAAGTTTAGAAACAGCGTACCGTAACAGCAATTCAATTATTGGCGCCGTATCTTTCATGTTACTCCCGATTGGCAAGCTACATGATTTTTAATGAGTATTCGGGTTTTGCTAGTAACTTCTTTATTGAAAATCGCGCTTAAACTAGGTTAGTTGGTTATGTGAACATAGAAAGAACATGGGAGCTATTTGGTTAAGATGCTTTCATAGAGAACCTTTGTAAAGAGAACCTAGAAAACTACGAAAAAAAACCATGCAGCCTGGGTTAGACTTCGCAACAAACAATTAGTATTTAACAATCTTCAAATGCTAGGCAACTGGTGAGGCTCCAATTAAATCTCCAATTTAATATTTTATTTGTAAATATTTAAAATATTGTTGTATTCTTAGACACAAAAAGCAGAATTTAAGTTTTGTTAACTCGTTAGTAAACTACCAAGCCATAGTGCAAATGAATATTCAATTTCTTTTGCAATAATTGTATTCACTTAATATTCTTGGAATATGAGCTAAAGAAGGAACGTTCTCGGAAGATTAAAGAAGTGTTTAAATCCAGTGATATAAGGTTTGTCTTACAAGCTCAGGATCAAAACGATTCTGCAATTGCCCCAGTAGTTGACTTGTAAATGGCTGTGAATTAAGCAGATGACTTTTAATCTTACGTTTTCAGTCAGACAACGTATTCCAAATGTTTTGTCAGGGCCAGATTACCAATTAGGCACAGTAGGCACGTGCCTAGGGCCTACGAAGGTCAAAAGGGCCTACGAAGGCCAAAGGGCCTACGAAGGCCAAAGGTCTTAGGGCTTTGAAAAAAAATATATTGAAATAAAAATACCCCAAAAACTTATAAACATTTTTATATTATTATATAGTGAAGGTCAAAATAATATATGTAAATACAAATACACAAAAAATACGAATACAAAACGTTTGGTTTACTAAGTAGATCCTAAAAATAACTCCTTTTTTCGGGATTTTGACACAGCGAATTCGTGTATTATATCTTCAAAATTAATGCCGCGAGCGACATCACTTTCAATACACAGAAGGCCCAGTGACGAAGTTCTCTCTTGACCCATAGTTGAACGCATAAAATTTTTTATAAGCTTCAACTTGGAGAATGATCTTTCTCCTTCTGCATTCGAACCCAATATCGAAAGGTATATGCGCAATGCAATATTAACATTTGGGAAACTTGACACAAGTTTATCCTTTATTTGTAATTTGATGAGATCCGTTATAGAGGTGGTTTTGGGGTACAAATTTGAAAAAATCAAATACTCATCAACAAAGTTTTCTTCTAAGTCAGACGGATACATTTTTACCAGAGCTTGAGCCTTAACCTTGATAATGTCCTCGGTCAGTGTATTATCCGTAAGAAAACTAAATGTGTCATAAAGGCTGGTATACGCAGTGCGTCTCTTTGTCATTTCAGCGCAAAGCACATCCAGAACAATAAAAAAAACATTAATCTTAAAGGAATCTTTGGCACTGCGAGAGGGAGTCTCATCTGGCCCTTCATCGAACTGTCGTTTTCTCTTACGAACTCTAGTTTCGGATTCTTTAAATTCTGAATCTGGTGCAAGGGCTTTTGCCTTAAGATAATAGCTATTATACATGTCCTCAGTTCTGCAGTGAGATAAATATTGAATTAAACTGTCGTAAAGTCGCACCATCGTGTTAAACTCGATGCCAGGTTCTTGAAGAGATTTATTTACAATATCGACGTGTTTTAGTAGATCTTCCCAAATAACTGTGAGTAATACCATCTCCAAAGTATTCATTTGATGGATTAAGGTTTGTGCCTCAATCACTGTTGTAGGTTTCATACCTTCACTAGTTGAAATATTTGTAAGAATACCACGTATATCATCATAATGGGCACATAATGTTTTTACAGCCTCATAACGTGCTGACCATCTGGTCTCTGAAAGTCTTTTTACAGAAATTTTACTTCCCAAAGACCTTAGTTTAGACCATCTTTGAGGGGACGCTGCAAAGAAATTGTAGAGCGATTGCAAAATTTCAAAAAATTTTACAGCTTCTAAGCAGCTTTCTGCCGCCGCTGTGCCAACTAGATTAAGACTATGAGCTCCACATGGTACCCAAGTGGCTGCGCTGTTGATTTCCCTAAATCTAGTTTGTACTCCCGAATACACTCCGCTCATATTAGCCGCATTGTCATAAGACTGACATCTGCAAAATTTTGGGTCTATTCCCTGATTTTCTAAAACTGAAATTAGAGTGTCAAAAAGATACTTGGCATCATGTTTTTCTATTTTAACAAACATCAAAAATCTTTCATATATATCTCCAGTTTTTGAGACATATCTAATAACTATGGAGAGTTGATCCGTATGGCTAACGTCAGTATGGTGTAGAATCCGTATGGTGTAGAATCCACAGTGATTCCATAATACTTGGCTTCTTTGATTTCTGTAACTATTTTTTCCAATACTTTTGACCCCAGTAAAATTATTAGTTCTTCATACGTTGTGGAGGATAAATATGATACTTTTCCGCGGCCTGGATTACCGTATCTTCTTACATGTTCTTCTAGAAACGGATCAAATTTGGCTAAGAGATCGATACACCCAAGAAAATTGCCATTACTAGGATCACCATGTATTTCATTATCGCCTCTAAACGCTAGTCCCCTTTCGGCCAAAAACTTAATTACTTCCACTACTCTTCTTAAAACCGTTGTCCAATATGTGCTTTCTTTTTCCTTGACAATATCAAACGTCTCATCAATTTTTCTAGTTTGTTGGTAGTTCACTAAAGCAGAAATAGATGCAAAATGTTCTTTTGACACTTCATGACTTGAAATTCTCGAATGTGCGTTTTTCCAGTCATTAAAGCCTGTAAGGAATTGGTTACACAGGTTTGGATTTCCAGGTAGGTCCGATTTGAACAAAATACATTTATAACAAAAAAAAACTTGCCAGTAGATTCGGAAAATATCAACCAGTCCCTTTTTATAATATCATTGTTGTTCAGTTTTCTGAAAAAATAATCTTGTGATGGACATCTCATTATTTCGCCAAATTTAGTGGCGTATAACTTAAAATTTATATCCAATTTCTGCACAGGGTGATTACGAGAGAAGTAATCGATAAGATCTGCGCTTATGGTTGTCCACCGTGCTGGATCAGAACTGAAAATACTTGAGGCTGATGTTGTTGGTAGTGATTCAGGCACCACCTGCTTGGAAGCGTCGTTAAAATTTCGTAAACCCCCGTCAGCCTCGTCTTCTGTGACATTCTCAGTTTTATTGGTTGAACATTCTTGCGAGTCCCAACAAGCCTCAGCTTCTTTAGGTCTAACCTCGATCGAGGAAATATCTACCGCATCTGCATTATCTTCTGTCTCCTTAGAAATGTTAACATATTTCAATAAAGAACCTTTAATTTTACTAAGCGACTCACTCACTTTCTCTTTCTTTTTGCGTTTTTTCATGTCCACTTTGGTGTTTTCTTTTATATCCATCAGACATTTTTCGCTAAAAAAAAATATTTAAAAAAAGCTTTTATAAATTGCGCTTAAAAGTTTAAAATAATTTTTTTAACTTTCTGATATACCATAATAAAAGCGATGGGCACGCACAAACTAAAATTTAAACTTGTTTTCTCCTTCTTCTCGTCACCTTTAAATATACATTTTAGTTTGCGCCCGTCGCTTTTATTATGCTATCAGAAAGCTAAAAAGTTATTTTAAATTTGTTAAGTAATGCATTTTAAACTTGTAAAAACGAAACCCGGATTTACGAGTATGGATTAAAATTAAGCTATTCCAAAGGTGATTTGGACTGTACTATTTCTACGACTACTACTGGAGATTTTTTACAATAGTATGGCCAAACCACCCCATAGTAGGCCTACTCAAAGTTCCTTGCATTGTGCTGCATTCTACGGCGGACTATTATACTAATAAGAAGTGATAAAATGAAAATTCTATTATTTATAATGGAATGAAGCAATATTCCAGAATCAAAAACTAGGTTGAAATAAGTAGAGTATAAAAACAACTTTCCTTTACTTACCTTACTTATAATAAATTTAACTTCCAGTTTTTAAACTAAAGATTGACTTGGGGTTGAGCGTGATTAAATACAAGCACAGGCATACACGCTCTATCGTAGTGTTTACATATTAACTTATTACACAACTGAGCTACTAAAACAAAAGACCTTAGCAGCAGGGAAAACCTCTCGATCGCGCGCAAGCGTTTGGTAGTGGGCATGGAAACGTGGCCAACTGTGTCAAACGCATGTGCCCGTCCGAGAGGTTTTCCCGGCGGCTAATGTCTTGTCATGTTCATGTACTAAAACCCTGGAATTCTGCATGGAATTTGGTAGATATAAAAGTTGCATTGTTGCAGATAAACTCAATTCTGGAATTATGGCTATTGAAAATGGCTCTATGAAAAATAAAAACATTAAAATCCCAAAATAAAATAATGTTATTTTACCGCATCATCACATTTTCGGATTTATATCTACAAAAAAATTATTACTTAATATTAGCGGTCAATTTCAGTTAAAAAATGTTTATTATTTCGGGGCCTACGCTGCTGGAGTGCCTAGGGCCTACGACACCCTTAATCCGGCCCCTGTGTTTTGTATTGTATGATAATGCATCTTTTCATTATTCAATAACCAGTCGGAAAACCGCTTGTGTTCCGAAAATAAATATGTGTACTCAATCGTCCTGCATGTTTTTCAAATTTGTCTTAAGATTTTTTTTTTCTTTCCCAAAAACTAAAGTTGCCTCTCAAAGGAAAGTTTTTTGATATTGAAGAAACAAAAGTAGTATGACATCTACTTTTAAAGGCATGTCAAAAATAGATCTCTACAAGCCTTCTCTTCCATTACATGTTGTGCAGTCAGACAAAAAGTTGCATCAGCGTAAATTCTATAATCTATTTTTATTACACTCTGATTACTTTACTAACATACAGTGAATATATACTAAATCTTTTACTTCAGCTTAAGTAATTCGGAATTTTTGACGGAATTGTTGTCGGAACTAGGGGTTAGAAGATAAGTCAAATTAAATATTTCGATAACCCAATAAATTCAAGGTCGAATTTCAATATTTTATTTTCGAAGTGAGGGGAAATTTTTTCAGTTCAGTTTTGGTCAATTATCCTAAGTATATTTGCTTCGATTCTTTATTTTTCCATAAAAGCGAAAAATTTACGTATGGTATACATATAACGCATAGCTTCAAATGAAAATTTAATAATATACGGAGTGGTTATAATTAAAGTTCCACATTGAAACGGTCATAAAACGAAAACTACTGGATCAAATGTTATCAAACCTGGTAATCGTGTAAAGGAAGTCATAGGAATTTATTTTCCGCGAAAAAAAGGAAGTTCCAAACCTCACCACCAGGAGGGAAATGGCGCTGTATGCAATATTTTTAAACGAAATATGGATCGGAATCTAACTTAACCTTTTGTTACATGGGTTTAATATGTTGTATACCCTTAAGAAATTTTGAAGTAAGCAAATTACCATTTAAAGACGTTAAATTCGATAAACGTTGATTGCGCCATCCGTGAAAGTGAGAAATTCGTCCGTGAAAACCACGAATTAGCGATTAGAAAATGTGAGATCGCAAATCACTCGCACAAGTGCGTACAATCTGGAAATCGTTTTCTTACAGATCGCTAATTTGTAATTTTTGAGCCTGAATTCGACCCTAAAACATGAAGATACTGATTCAAAACGCTTTTAATCGATTTGGGCCAAAGAAATCCCTCATGTTATCTATCTAGTTCCATTGCATTCTCCTACTGCATTCGATTGCATAGCAGTCATTCCACACCGTTTAGTGTTGAATGACAGCTAGTTTTATAACTGAACCATTTTTCTCTGAAGAGCAGTCGACAGCTGGACCACTGTGATTGCAGCTCACTTAGAGTCAATGTTAAAATGTTTCGTGATACATGAACTGCAGTAACGTGGCATTTTAGATACTACGATTTTATATGCAGGGCTGGGCCCCACCTCACGTGTGTCGCACAGTTACTTTCACGAATGAACGTCAATATTTCACGAATGAACGTCTTATAGGCCAACACTTCCCCTCTTCCCACCAGTCCTCAAACTTAGTGATTTTTAGCTATGGTTTTCTCAAAAGCACTGTTTATGGTGATAATCTAAACAATTTGGCAGAAATGAAAAATGTGATACGCTGACATGTCCGTAGCATTCCTGCGGATACGCTAAGAGCTGCTGTTGAGAATGCAGTAACAGGATTTAACTTGCTTTCGGAAAATGCTGGACGCTACATTGAACATGCTTTGTAACACGTTTCGGAAAATATTAAACACATTTTAAACAGATGTTTTCGTGTCTTATTTCATTTATCAATCTTGTATACAGCGCCATTTTTCCCCTGGTGGTAAGTTTTTGAACTCTTTTTTTTTTTTTTTTTTCCCCCCGCGCGGAAAATAAATTCCCATAAGCTCCTTTACACGATTCCCAAGTTTGATAACATTTGGTACGGTAATTTTCCTTTTATGACCATTTCAAATCGGAACTTTATTATAACCACCATGTAAATTAAACTTTAAAAATTTGACAGTTTGGTTCAAGTCCCAGCTTTAAAAAAATATATATAATCTTTTATATTAATCCTCTTAGAAAGAATGTTTTAAGAAGCTAATTTTTCTCTCGAGTTATAGATTGTATAAAAAAACATGATCTTTAATATGATTTAGATTGTTTCAGCCGATATAAGAATCGGGTTACTCGGTGGTACAGAATAAACCCTGCTGGACTATTTTATTTCTTTGTCATTTAGCAAAAATCTTTTAATTAAAATATTTATCTTTTGGACTTCATTTTAAACTTTATTTATAGTTAAAATGACTAGAAAATGAAAAGCTGTCTTCAGCTGAAACGCAATTCATGTAATTGATATTTTAAAAAATTGACAAGAATGCAAAATTTATGGAAGTCTAGCAATCGAAAAATCTTAATTTTCTTGTGTGTGCACTGAAAATAACTGTAGAAGTAAAGAAGAAAATTAAGGAGAAAATTAAGCAAACATTTGCAGGGAAATTTGGCTGTCAGACATACCAAGAACACATCTTGGTATGTCTGACGCTTTTGAATATACTTTCGCTTTTGAATTTCGCTTTTGAAGTTGGACGCTTTTGAATATACTTTCAGGATATTTCAAAGAATTTAGGTGTTCAAAGAAAAAACACTTGGACGTGTACACCAGCAAATACCATCAATTGAGCTTGTGGTTAACAGAAAAGACAAAAACGATAT